GCGGTCGTTGCCTATTAGTAAGATAATTAACTTTCCAAGTAAGTTTCGGCCTAGAAGGGTGAAAACGGGCGCCTCCTACGATTTGCGCTTGCCGCTGCAATACGGAAAAGGAAACCAGAATTCTGTAAGCAGCTGGAGCATGTGATAAACCTCGCATTGCCATGGTAATGATCGATAACCCCAGTCCCGCTAACGCCTCTTCGTCTCCCTCAGGACTGGCTTCTACCCTGTCCTCTGTCCCTTCCTTAAGCCACGTCCTACAGGCTTCCATGAGCATGACCTAATATGCACTGCCATGCTGTGATAGTTACCTTCCCCCTCGTCTACGCCCTCACCAGCGCCCCCATCTAAGACTAATAGCTGCTACTCTCTTTATCTATCAAGTTTCACTCTTCTAGGCCGACACTTACTTGGACAGTTAATTGCCTTATTAAAAGGCAAAGACCATTTGCAGTTGAATAAGAGGTCCCGAAATTGTATGACGTCAATAAATCCTGCTAATCTCACGATCTTTGCCTTTTTCAAATAATCACATAAATTACGGCCCCAGCGATGGTCAAGAGAGCTCTTTATTGCAAGAGGCAGGTGGTCACGTGACCAATACGGACTAAAACTACTGCCTACCTAGTGCCTCCATCACCCTTATCTGCGATCGTCTCTAACTAAGGGTTCATGCGGGAATCCAAAACCGTAGACCAATAAACTCCTTGTTCCAGCGATCACATCTTCCCTTCTGATTTATCTATATATAACAAAAGTGGTTCTACTTTCTTTATAGCCGCTGTCTCAAAAAACCGGAACTAGAAGGAACTGTGAAGACGCTTTGTAAAGCAACTGAAATCGGTAGTTCCTCTAGGAGTGCAACTGAGTACCACAAATAATTCACTGAATAAAATCATGTCTTAATCGCCAGTAATATTAGGCCTTATCGAAGTTCAGAACGGCGACGCCAACTAGTCGCAATGAATGACTGCACTTATTCACCTTGGCACATTTTACATCCGAAAGAGACGACTGGTGTTAGGCGAATTTTAAAAGTAGACAAGTCAATGGACTACCTGTACGCTTCCACGCGAGCAGTGCTCCAGGACCACGCTGAAGGAATCCACGTCGAGTAGACAGCCAATAAATACGTTTACATTTTCATTTCGCATATCACGCAACGTCCTTAACCAATCAATCATGTTGGCTTTAAGCGGCTTGTTTGGAAGCCCCAAACGTTTGATATGAATTGGATCGCCCTGTCACAAGGTAAGGCAAATTTCTTGTGAGATTGAATAACCCTGTCAGTTCAAGGCAAGCTAAAGAAAAATGTATATCAATCAAAGTAAACTGACGTTCAAAACCGCAGTATTTCTGTCAATCGTCTGGTCGCTGTCAGCCAAAGATGCCATGGAGTTTCTAGGTCCGCTTCCTGAATTCACCGAAAGGGTCGAAAGATGATGTGTTGGCAGTGTTAGGTTTTCTCTCCTCTGTAGACGAAAACAGGCTTAAGTGTACGTGTGAAAAAATGTTGGTAGTGATTTGTTATATTGTGGCCAATGCTGAAGTAAATACAGACAATAAATATATGCGAATACCTTTTCCCTATAGGGGCGTAAGACAAAAAATCATTTAATGATTAATGATCAGATTAAAACACAATAAAATCTTTTTCAGGTAAAAGTTATACCGGAGGGTTCTAACAAGACTTCACCTTGACGTTCTTAAACCACTCATAGTCTCTGTTTATCTGACTATCCCTACTGGTGGTATAAGAAAGATGACACTGCGATTGATCAGCTATGTAATATTCAAATGCGATGCTTCAAAGGAAGCTGCAAGACCAGGAATCTGCCTTGAATATAACATCTGGTTTTGCACCAACTAGTGTTAGG